TTATACTTACAATAACCATAACTTGGATATGGTTTTATCTCTTATTTGATGAAACCGATGCCAAGAAAATATAACTCTTTTTCAAGAACAGACATTCTTCAAAGTGGCAGAATGAAAACACAAACTCAATTCCAGATTCTCAATTATAATATTAAATTCTCCCATGCAGGTGATAAGATTTATAATGTAAAATTCACACTTTATAAACCTTGGTTTATCTGAAATTCTTCTTTAGAATTACTACATAATCACATTTCAGAAATTAGTCTACTAGCACTAGCTTGAAATTTAATGATATTTCACACTAGTGGTATTTTTGCCATTGCTAGAATTCCATAAAAAGTCCAGGATCTTCATTCCTCATCTGCTACTTTGTTGAACAGCTACTGTCACACATCTCAGTTGCCAACTTAAGTTAAAAGAAAAAAAATTATATGTATTTGTTTTGGTAAAGATTTTATTTTTGGTAACAGCTGAAATATAGGCAATACATAAAATAACTTTATACAAAAGTATATACTTGATACATTATAATTTAATGTAAGTGACAATTAAGAGCCTCCCCTTAATCTGTATAGTTATTTTATTTGAAAACTCTGCTCACAGAAGCCCTCATCAAAAGGAATATATTAATGTGGCTCCTTTAATTTACGGAAAGTGTAAGAGAGTTTCTTTTTTCTTTCTTCCATTTTCTTTCCCTTCCCTTCTCTGCTCCTTCTTCATATGCCTCTCCCTCTCTCTTTCCTCTTTCTCCCCTTCCTCTCTCCCTCAGACCCCCCTCTCTCCCCTTCTCCCATTCTCCCCCACTTCTCTCTGGGTTGTACATCAAAACATATGGAGAATTAAAAACTCTGCTCCCTCTCTCCTTCCTCTTTCTCCCCTTCCTCTCTCCCTCAGACCCCCCCCCCCGCCCTTCTCCCATTCTCCCCCACTTCTCTCTGGATTGTGCATCAAAACATATGGAGAATTAAAAACGCTGTTCAAAATGCTTGAAAACTTTGGATCTAGGTAAATAAAACCTGAAAGAGGATCTCTTTTTTTCAGACTGACTTGACTGCAACCTTTGAAGGAGTAGAACAAACTAAAGATAAAAATTCCATCACAGAATTAATGAAAAGAAAGGGGGGGAAAAAAAAAGCCCCGAGGTTTCTAAGCTACAGAAATGACAATTGAAGGAACTATGAGTGGTTCAGAAGATATGTCACCTCAAGGACAAAATATTAAAGAGAAGAATTTCTTTATGAAGTCAAAAGTTTTCCAGGAGTCACTCTACTGTCTAAAAAATATGATGGCTTAATATTCAGATAAGATCTTCTGAGAATTATTTTATTTCCACTAGAAGGAAAAAATTATGCTTGTCTTAGTAACTTGGCTACATTATTTAAATCCTTTTGGATGGAGGAAAGACAAATCCTTAACAATACTTACTGGGTCATTAACGTGCTTTCATATACTAAGGCATTAAGCCTGATTTAAAGATGAGGCACAGTGTTTGTTATCACATGAAACTGTTCCAATTTCAGCTCTATTGTTTAGTGCCTTAAAGATCTTCAAGCTAACTTTTATCATTTTTGCCATTATATATATATATGAATAGATAGATCTATATATCTAAATATACATATTTAGATATGTATGCATGTATATGCATAGATGCGTATATATCATATGAATCTATACATGTAAATGTATATATATTATTTTATATCCATATAAAATAGAAATATGTATTTTCTTAAACAAGCATCTTAGGTTATTTATCTATAAAATGTGGATAGGAAAACCTTACCTTAAAATAGTGTTGCTGTGGAATAGGCCCAACACAATTTTGATCATAGCACAAGCTATCATTTCAGTATCCCATTCCTATCACGACATCTGACCTGAACCACCCTCCCCAGATTCCAAGGTTATTTATCTATTCCTCCTTGCCCATAGCCCACTGGCAACTTTAAATGAAAGTTCTCTCGAGTATGCTTAAAGCTTATAAATAGATTAAATAAGATTAGCCCAAACAATTTTTAAATAGGAGAAATAAATAATAGAGATGACTTGTGTCTACTCACTAACCTATTACAAGGTTTTGTTTCAAAGTGCCAAATTCGCTAACTGTTCACTCAAAAAGAAAACAGTACTATAACTTTTTCTTTTCTTTTCAAAGACTTTTCTATGAAAGAAAACAAGCTGCTGAGCTCTGTTCAATGTAAAATAACTGGCTTTGCTCAAGAGAAACCCACTTTAAAAGGAATTGTAAAGATAAAAGGGAAAAATGAGAATTTAACCCAATATTTCAAAAATCTCAATAGCTGCTATTGACTTTTTACTTTTGAAAAGTTAAAAAAAAAATAAAGGTGACTAGATGCTTATCTTTTTCTGATGCTATAATAACAAAGTGGAACCCAGATCTTTTCTCTACCAAGCTATGAGTGTCAGCATTGAATGTGGATATGCCTGCAGAGGTGCGCGACTGATCACAAAGTAGGTTAAGTTCTGAGTAATTGACAGCCTTTTTTTCATGAACTAAAGTAACAATAGCCATTTATTTTTTAGATTTCAGAATTTGTGAACTGTATTTACAAACTGTCAGGAAATAAAAAGAGAAAAACAATCAACACTGAGGGAAAAAAAGTAACAAATTTTATTTAAAAAATTTAAAAACCAACATTGGATGTTGGGAATTTTATATGGTTCGACCTAATAGATGAAACAGACACGTACCTTTTCATGAGTCCATGTCATAGTAACAACCATTCTTCTATAAGATTTCTTAAAATCCATCAACACATTTTATAAAATTGTAGGTCATTCTATTACGTATAAAATGTATAGCCCTCCAGTTGTTCAGTAAATGTTAATGACTGTTTACCATGTGTCAGATTATTAACAAAATAGACAATATCCTTGTCCTCATAGTATTTAAATTCTAGTGTACAAAAAAATAAATAAGAAAAATGAGTAAAATAGATGTTAAGTATTATAAGCAGTAATAAGAGGTATGGGAAAATTAAAGCAGGGAAGGGGGATGGAGTATGTGGGAGTAATGGTCCTAATTTTCAAGCAGGTAGTTTGCAAAGTCCTCAAAGAAAAGTGAGCACCTGAAGGATGCGAGGGATAAAGTTTTATAAAAGATATCATTTCAAGCACATTGAACCGTGAGTGAAAAGGCCCTGAGGCAGGAGTTTGCCTCATCTATGAAGAGTCAAGTATGGACAGAAAGGAGTGGGCTTGAGGGAGCGTAAGAGGGGAAAATTAGGATGGAATTGGTAGGGCTAAATCAAAAAGGGTCTTTTGAATCATACTAATGACTTAGACTTTTATTTTAAGTGAGAGCAAAGGCATTGGAAGGTTTAAGTGAAGGCATAATATTCTGCCATGTTTTAACAGAAGGACTATAGCTACTATGTTAGGAATAGATTTTAGAGGCAAATAGAATTTTGGAGGCAAATCAGGATGATAAGTTAGAAGGCCATTACAATTTTTCAGGCAAAAATGTCGGTGGTTTGAACTGGTGAAGCAGTGCAGTTGGTGAGAATAGATATAATACAAACAGATTTTAAGATGCAGCTGGCAGGATTTAGACAATGACCCAATTTGGGGCCTTTGTAAAGGTGAGATGTTAAGGATGACTCCAAGATTTTGACCTGAGCAATGGGAAAACAGAGTTTCAATTAACTATTTGTAGAAGATCGTAGGTGGAGCAAAATTGAAACAGAAATAATATAAGTAACTCAGTTGTGAATATATCAATTTTGAGAGTTATCCAAGAATTACAAAAGCAGTTCCAGATGGGGGTCTAGAATTCAGAAAAGAAGACTGGGTTTGACTTATATATGCATCAGCAGAGACCAGATGAAATGACCTAGATATAAAATTACAAAATTAAAGATTATATAAGGATGGATCAAATATTGTATTTTCTATAATATGAAATCATTCTTACATAGTAAACATTTCTGCCAAACATATTTCTTTGATAATGGAACATCACTTTGAGATTCTTATTTACCGAAAAGCATAGGTCAGAAGAAAATCTTACAAAGAATAAGAATAAACTGCCTACCTTGAAAAATATACCTCTTCAGTTCTCTTGAGCTTCTAAGCTCACAAGTAAACTAAGACTCTAAGAACTCAAGCTATATCAAGTATCAATAAACTTCAATTTACACCCTGTCATGCAGCCATTTAGGTGGTTGCTCTGACATGCTGAAGCTGACTTCGGAGCTGAGCTTCTGTTTTAAACAATTCTGAGAAATTCAATGAGTCACTTAACCTTTCTTTCCCTTTAAAAAAATGGGGCAGGGAATAAATTGTTCCTTGGCCCACTTAATGGTACTGATGTGACAATGTGTGAGATCATGTCTGCAAAGCAATCTGAACATCTCATGAAAAAGGATTTTAGATGTTTTCAAAGCAAGTTCCTGACTCTTCTGGTCCAGAATCTAAAGAGGAAACCCACGATAATGGATTTTTACTATATATTTACATGAGCTGGGGAAAAGGGAAAATTGTTTCCTACAGAGAGGATACAAATATCCCGTGGTTGTCCAAAGACAGTTGCATGCTTCTCTCAGAGAAGTCTTCAATGGCTAGGTAATGATTACTTAAGCATTCACGAAGCACAAGCATCTCTTAAAGATGCACATGAAACCCTCAAAGGCATTATGACACTGAATCTAAGAAAGCAACTTTTTCTCTTATGTCCTAGCTTGTGGTACTAATATATAACTCAGTTGATCAGGTTATAAATCTAAGATTCCTTCAAGCCTTCTTCGTTTACCACCTTCAATACATCCCCCAATACTCTCCAAATCTCTTTTGTGCCATCTTTCTCTTCACTCCTGTCTCTTTATCTTCACCGCTTCTGTATTATTCTAGGTGGGCATCATTCTCTTATCTTGCCTACTGTGAATTTCTCATCTGATCTTGCCTTCAGTCATATATTTCTCCATTTCTTACTCCTTATGCATAGCCTACAAGGTCCCACTTGGTCTGACCTCTAATGCTTCCATTCAATACTATTCCCTTTCATTCTCTCAAGTACAGCCTCTGCTTTAGATATGCTGAATTACTTTTAGTTCTCCAAAAGCATAATTGTGTTTCACACACCTGGGTTTTGCAAATATGCCTTCCTTACTTTTACACGAGGCAGCATAGTGACCTGGTTGGGAGCAATGGCTTTAGAAGTAAGATGTCTGAGTTCAAATCTCAAGTCTACCTTTTTCTATCTATATGATCAGTTCTTCATTACTAAAATAGTGATATTACCTACTTTATAGAGCAGTTATTAGGGCTGACTAAGATAATTGATTCACTAAGCACATATTAGGGAATCAGTAGTGTTAGTTCTGGTTATTATATTTTATCCAAAATATAATTAAGCTCAGATTGCTTATATGAAATCTTTCCTACCACACTCTCACCCTGTCACTACTATAACTGATCACTTCTTTTGTTCTACTCCTCGGCACTATGTAGACAACAGTTAAACATTACATGTGTTTGACATGGTCGTTTATACATCTGCCTTGTGCACTGAACTGTGGAAACTTCTTGAATGTACTCCTTGGTCTTAGTTATCCCAATATTTCTATTTCTATGACAAATTCTGGTAAAGAATGTCTTTAATAAATATATATTAAAGGAAAAATAAAAACTATAGTCAATATGATTTCACTGATATGTGGAATCTAAGAAGCAAAAAACACAAACTAATCAAAAACAGACTCACAAATATAGAGGAAAATCCGGTGATGGCCAGAGGGGAGGAGGGTTAGAGGCTGGGAGAAAGAGGTGAAGGGTTAAAGAAGTACAAATCAGTAGTTGATAGATGGTCACGGGCCTGGGGAGCACGGCATAGGGAATGCAGTCAACATTAATGTAATAGCTAGGTATAGAGCCAAAGAAGAGAAAGAGCAATCAGAGGTATTGTTTCATAAATTATATAAATGTCTAACCGATGTACTGTATACTTGAAACTAATAATGAAACACACACACACACACACACACACACACACACACACACACACACACGAACTATAGCCAAGTTATCTTTGTCACAAAATAGTCAAGAAATACAAAATGAGCCTCTCCTTGTTATTCCTGATAATCTGTGATTCCCAGGAGCTGCACAGTAAAAATTAGCATTTTTTTTTCTCATAAGTGTGAATGTTCTCTTTCCTTATCTTATAATAACTTTTCTATACTGAAAATTCTTTTTGTTTTGTTTTGTTTAAATATTACTTTTGGAGCAATTCCTCTCCCACTTGCAAGTGACTTCTTCATTGACCCTCAAACCTAAAGTGGTTTGCTCAGCTAAAGGTCCCATAGGACTCTTGATAGTTGCAGCTTATTGTGTTCGAGAGGAGTAATTTATATAAAAATAGGTTAGGAGTTTCTATTTTCCAAAATCTGTTTGGTAACTAAACCACTTGGGAATAGTACTGATTATTATTAAACTGTATTTCCTGAATATATTAATA